TTCAGGAGGCATTGGGCACATTGCATCAACTTATGAAGAACATCCCAAAAGCCGAGCAAAGCACGTTTGCAGACAAAGCAGCATCGCTTGGTTTGCCGGTGGCGCTGGCGGCAAAGGCGCGCAATGAGGAGCTCTACAAGCTGCCGCTGTTTGCGGTCACTCAACTAGAGTGACTAGACCGCGGCGATCCGGATCATGTACAGTTTTCGGCGGCATGCGTTGCGTTTTTCGGATTCTTACAACATTTTCCACCTGACGATTTCTATGACACTGTTGCTTATCGAACATTCCTACGTGTTGCAGTTGGTTTTTGTTTTCTTCATTGGTGTACCAATCAGGTTCATCAACAATCATGTCGAAAATGGAATCGGAGATTTGACAGAACATGTTTAAAGTCTGTTCGCACTTTTGTACAGTTGCAACGAATGTTCTGTCAATCCAACACTGTATATATACTTCTTCATGCAGTTGTCATATCGGGACTCAACATTCGTCTTTCCAGCACAGAACACTACATCGGCAGTACCATACACACGCTACACGACCGTCAGAACACCAGACAACGCAAGCTCAGACAATTAAAACGAGCACAACCTGTGTCATGCAAGTTGGCACTCCATTGGTTTTGCAGCCAAAACAACTATCATCAATTTGTCGCATTGCCGTTGTTACCCACCAATACAACATTACAAACACGAACGCTGGAAAGCTACATCATCCAAAAGTGGTGTCCACCATTCAACTACCCGTTTATCTTACAACGACAAGTCACAAAACAACACTCAACACCACACTTGCGACAAGCACTACGCACCACTTATTTGGGAATCGGACACCGGCTCTACGCTCAGCTTCGACGACGACTTATGTGCAACACACAAGCATCACAGAACACACAAGCATCAGCACCTTTCTACCAACATTCTCTCAGACTCCACAACAACATGATCCAGCCGGACACACTATACCACACTCAATGCAACCACAGTGTGCCACTGCAGCTTTCAGACAGCCTTTTGCTCCAACTCCACCACAACAACCACAACAACTTATGGGACACACCGTCCCAAAGCCAACACAAGCACCATTTGCCAACTCTGCGTTTACACAACCTCTATGCTTTCAACACACCACATCACAGCACAGCCATGCCATGTCTTCAGCCACCACCACATTACAATGCAGCCATACCCAATCTTCAGCTCTCACCACCACAATATGGATCATTCGTCACTTACCAGTCTACACCACAGTCAACAAGCACAACACTAGTACAACCAGTCCCAGCCACGCCATTTTCACAGCAATTTCCAACCACTACAGCTTCAACTCCACCACTGAGTCACAACAAGCACAGCCGTACATGATCTCGCACCACACGCAAGAAGCACAGATCCACCACCAGGCGACGCAGACGACACAGATCTACAAACCGACATTGCTTCTTCGGCATACTTGCTGATTGGTTCTTTGGTCAAGCAGGAGACTCGATTTTATACCTAATATATTCACTTCAAACCACCAGTCTTATCCGTTCAGTTTCAACTCCAAAAAAGTTTGGTTTGTTTGTAATTTGGTTTTCGACATATGGGACACAAGACCAACAGCGCTGAGGGGTCATTTTCTTCGCATTCAATCCAAAACAACCACACCGAGGGAAGTTGTTCTTGGAAAAATCGTGTCCAGCGGCTTGATATACGTCTAAGTGGAAACCTTGGATCTAAGAGAACAAGCAGCGGAATGGAAACATCATGCCCTAGTGGCTTGCTGTGTGTGAGAAACCCTGAATCAAAGGGAAAAGCAGGGGGCCCGTGGACGCATAGATGGCACGGGCCAACGAAGACCCATCTATGTCGTCGTGAAAACGTACCTTCATCCGAAATGGCAAGGTGGCCAAGCCAAAAACCACCCATGCCGACATGCCATGACATGACATGACATGACATGCTAATGTAACAACACGACATGACGGTTATCATTTCATCTCATTTCACCCTCTCCATTATGGAGTTTACCAAAGTGTGTGTTTTTTCCATGCCTTATGGAATCCAGAACAGCTCATCTTTGTTGTACAGACTTTGTGTGTAAATTTGTTTGTGAGTATCGATATACATGAAATATATTGAAATATCATATACTTACATAAACAGTATTGCACATGTAGGTTGAAATCACCCATCAGTCGTAGCTACTGAAAGTTCATTCCATCTGACCATTCCAAGGCGAGATCTGAACGATCGCAGGGCAGTCGCGGAGTCCAAGTTTGGAGGGCAAAGGGACACAATTGGTGTAATTAACCCCCCAAAATCCCCAAAATACATCAAAATGGGATGGTACTGGTAGGACAAAATTGATCAGAACATGCAGTGTCCATCCCATTTAGATCCTATTTTAAAGGCCCAAGTTGGTTTCAAAATGGAATGATTGTAAATGTTGACTATGTTTAACCCACGGCCATGTGTCAGTGTCTGATAGCCAATCACTCCTGAGGTAATGAGAGCTATTTCTCCAATGTTCTGAGTCGTTGCTAACCCATCCCAACCGTACTGGTACGGTGAATGAAATTCCCGAATTCCCTGTTCTTTTAGAGCAAGATAAGGATAAGGTTAAGCTCCTGTAAAGTAGCAGAATCATGGACAGGATGTGGAAAAGTCACCAGCTACAGATTTTCCCCAGGGATTTTCATGGATTTTCCAGATCAGATCTATGTTAGTTTACCCTTCTGGGGCAACTGTCTGTACTATTGTCATCTATTGTCTCTCAAGCAACCCAGTGAACGAAAAATGGACCTACAGTACGACTCGACTTGAAAAATGACTCATTTTCGCTTCAGCATCAAATCACCATGGGGATCCATGGTCAAAACTTACCATCGACAGAACCATATTAGCTATATCAAATTCGATGATTTAGGCCATTTAGGCCCATGAAAAGGCTAACATCTAAAAACCACCAAAAAAGGTGGGGATCCAATTGATCACCAGTCACTTGTGGCGATTCCACACGGGTATGGGTCGATTCTCACCTGTCCAAGGCCACCAAAAATCCTCTCCTCCGGTTGCGAGGAGGTGGCTTGGTTGGAAACATGTAGGAAGACCATGGATTCCCCCGGCAGATGAAGGTTTCCTCATGTTTCCTCCATAATTAATGATTCTTCACTGGCATCAACTTGATTAATTAGAGTCAAAGAGATGGTTTCTACAAAGCACGTATGGTAAAAACTGCAAGACTCTAAGGCTCTTGCTTTTGAGAAGCCGCAGACCCCTTCCGGGGCGACTTTGTGCCGCAGGTTGCCATTTGATCGCTGTCCACAGAGAAAAAAGTGATGGAAAGTATAGTGGTTAACTGGAGGAAAATGACTTGAGATGATCAACCCATCTTGCTTGTTTCACACATCCACATGGCTCTGGATCAGAACTGTTCACAAGCCGCAGATGCCCAGAATCCCTGGGTGATTGTTTGATCACAACAAAGAGCTCCAGCTGCTGTTCTGCGCGTACCTGTGTTTTGTACGCTCAAGTGGTCCCCAAGTCCAAGTTGAAACCGTATCACTTTTGATATTTAATTCAATCGAATATGATCAGAGGGTACATTGATGCTGCTATACCACATATATCAGCATATATCCACATATCATCTCTAGTTCAAGAGGAAGTCAGCTAAAACATGCTAAAACTCTAGCTTTGGCAGGTTTCCATATGACATCCCTTCAGTTCGGGTTTCGTTTCGTCAGTTTTCCTCCCGTGAAAAACGCGCGCTCCAGTCCCACGGTGACGGCCATGTCATGCCATGTCTGCCAGGAGCAGAGTGTGTTCCAAAATTCGATTGTTTGGAAGGCTTTGGTCTTCGGGTCGTTGCTTTAAAATATGGTTAATGAATGTTAATGATGGGTAGATGATGTAGATGATGCTAGATGAAAGTGCTTCCAAAAAGTAAGACACAGTGGATGTGCTGAACATCAAGTTACATCAAGTTTGTTGCCGGACTTTACAGGCGTACATCCCTTATGCGCTATGCCTAGTTGAACCTGGAGCCTTGCCAATGTTTAGCGATGCCACAAACGTGGCCCGGTGCACGAATTGGTTTAAAGCGCAGATCTGAGGTGATGGTCTCGCAGAGCAACTGTGAATTGTCACTGAAATTGATATCTTCCAGTGATTGGTTAGGTATCAACACCCCATCAAGAAACTGGGAACAATATGGAACACTATGGAACAATGGCATTTGCATGCTGTCCTACTGGATCATACTGGATCTATTTAGCATTTTTCTGGCTTGACGTACCTCCGTTACCTCCGTAATTCGATGCTTAGTGATGGCTTAGTGCATGCTGCCATCATAGCAAACATGCCCTGCAAACGAGCCGCAAAAACACTAAAAGAAGGGGAAGCAGTCTCAGCTTGACCAAATCTCTGCTTGTTAAGTTGAGAGTTGAATATTGATATGTATTAATGTGTATTGATAGTTCTAAGGGCAGCCTGGAAGAATGACTTGAAAGGAGGGGTCTTGACTCTCCAGAGATGTCAAGATGGTTTTTGTCAATGTGAAGTTGTCTAAAATCTAAAGAGTCGCGGTAAAGTTGGAAAGTTGGAAAGTCGACGCGTGATGAGTTGAAGACCTAAAAATGGCTCACAGTTTTCTATCGACCTTCCGATCACCCTGCAAAACATCCTTCACCCGTTGCATAATTTTCCTCTCTTCCAAGCTTAGGGGTGTTGGGTTCGGCGCAACAGAACCCACCGGCCGACCGGGCAACGAAAAGTGGCAACCGGAAGATCAGAGGCCCGGTGCCACCGGTGCTCGGCCCCTGGAATCTGGAGAGGATAGTCATCCCAGGCCATCACAATGCATGGAAGTTCTCATAGCATGCAATCAGTATGTCATACGTGGCAGTTTGGTTCATTGGGATTGTATAGATCCAGAGGATAATATGAAAATGATTGAAAAATGCATAGTATGAAACTTGAGTTTTATATAGTTTTATGGTAATTATACATACACTTTGGTACTCTCACTTGGTGTGCTGCAAAACTATCCATTCACAATCATAGAATATGTTCCTACTAAAAATTGATCTTAGCCCCAGGTTAGAATACCAGAGGAGCAACCATTATTCTATATTAAATTATAACCCATTTACCAATGTATATCATGTATATCCCACTTAGCGGACTGACGAATCAGAATTACTTCACCGTAGAAAATCCCTTCGCATCTGGCGACGCCGAAGGCCCTCCAGAAACGGCGCTCCAAAAAATGGTGAACGACAAGGCACAGCGGCGTTGGAATGGCCATAGGATCCCCTGTAGAGGTGTTTGGCTGGTGAGTGGTTGTTTTATCGCAAAGCCACTCGTCTGTTCAGTTCAGTACTGCTACCACCAATGGCTTGCTTAGATCACTTGAATATACTTGAATTACTTGTGTCTTGCACTTCACATGGTAGTTGCAGAGAATAAGTTCAATATGTTTTTCATGCTTTTTGAAAGTACAACCACTCCAAACGGTTTGATGGGAGGCCAAGATACCCACCGCCCTAAAAGGAGCACTTCACTTTGTCGGTGAACCCCAAGTCATGGCAGATAAACTATGATACTCTACTACTGGCTTGGGTGGGGATGGTGGCATACCTTTCCTTCAAGCGACAAAAACGACCATTGCGAGCCGTACACATGGAGTGTGGTGATATATGTCACAGAACCGGGTTTTCCTGCTGGGATCAGCAACCAAAATTGGGACCAACGGGCCGTTTGATTCGGGGTAAGCCGCAGGCGCTCTCTATGATGTCCATGCTCCTGATGAGCTTCATCGCTTTCGCAACTGCGCAGCGAAGCCAAGTCGGACAGCCCAGCCGGCCGTTGGAACCGCAGGCCAAAACCAGCAGTCGGCGAGCTGAGTTATCAATGACCGATTGAGTTATAAATGGGATACCCTCTGGTAATTTAACATAGCTATTGAAAATGGCCATTTATAGTTGATTTTCCCATTAAAAATGGTGAATTTCCATAGCTATGTTAGTTTACCAGAGGGTACCCACTGAGTGGGTACTAAGCAAGCTTATTGTTGACCATCAGTGACCATCAATGAGCATCCAGCTTTCGGTCCCAGGCGTCCAAGTATGAGGCCCCTGGGATGAGGGCCGTGGACGCGTGTCTGGGTTTAACTGGAGGTTGGAGTAGAAAGGACATTTATATATTGTAAATATACATATATATAATTATATACATATACGTATATATAACTATATAGAACTACATGTATAAGTATATATAACTATATAGAACTATATGTATAAGTATATATAATTATATAGAACTATATATATTTATACGTATATATAACTATATAGAACTATATATATATACGTATATATAACTATATCGAACTATATATATAACTATATAGAACTATATATATATATAACTATATATGTAACTATATATATATAACTATATATATATAACTATATATATAACTATATATATAACTACATAGAACTATATATATACAACTATATATATAACTATATTTATATAACTATATATAACTATATATAACTATATATAACTATATTTAACTATACATAACTATACATAACTATAGATATATATATATGTCACATTGATCCACTTATAGTTCCAACCAATCAACTAGAACTATAGTTAATTATAATGTCTTCAAGTCTCTAACTTCATGTGGATTGAAGAATTGAAAGTGCTTGCCTTTTTTTGTTAACTCAGTGCACCCGTTGACTATCCTGATACGTGAATTTCATTTGAGGAACATGTTTACTTTTGAACACTTTATTTTAGTTTATTTGTTGATGTGAGTTCATGACTAGATGTGGGTGACTGTTTTTCTCTTCAAGGATGACACTTTTTGGTCAGCCTTGGTGATCTTACCCGATGAGAGTTGGGGAACTAGATCCAGGCCCTGTCGAATTGGGGGAAGCTGACACTGGCAGGGACAGCCCTTGATGCTGACGCCAAATATCATGACTGGCATTCTGATTGGTTCGGCACTTAGCCCTTGTGACCTGGGGTCAGTGGGGCCCCTGTTTACGATTGCGAAGTTGACGCGCAGAAGTTGGTTCTCTCTAGTTTATGGTGGAAATTGATATAACTATTAGTTAAGGATATATAATGATATAACATGATATAACTATTATAGCTAATGGAGGTTATAATGATGGTTAGCTGGAGAGAGCATCTACGGAACAGTTCCGCACTGGTACAGAGAACCCATCTGATGTACCTCCAAGGTTAAGAAATACTCTACCAGCCACCAGCATTCTGAAGGGACAAGTCTGATGTCTATAGATAAACAACACGCTTCCGTTTCAATACTTCAAATGTAAGTTCCCTGAATCGAAACACTAAGTGTCCAATGAAAGCAGGTCACTGGGTATATTTGACAGATGGTTGTGAAATGTCATGAACCCCGTCTACCTGGGATGCACATCAAGCTACACAGGTTCCCTGTGGACCGTTTTGTTCCTCGTGGGCTTTTGCTGCCTCTTCAACGTGCAGACACCAGCAGCCTTTGAGGTGTAAAGGGAAAGGAATGCCACATTTGCCACTCTCCATGCTTGGTCTATCCTGATCTATTCATGTTTATAGTCATGTTTATATTCAGATCTATATACATATTCATTGTTGTTGGATCAATCTACTTTGCAGCCAGAGATGTGTGCATACATTTACTCCCAGGAAGCTACCTTCCCAAGCTTCGATCAATCTTGTTCGATGGGGGTAATTTGCGGTAGCTTGGTTTCCGGCATTCGACGCTGCAGGAGAGAGCTTTGGTAATCAACAAGAATTACTGAGACGTGAAACCACGTCACAAATGGTAGGAGCCAAAAAAAAAAACGCAGCTGGAGACCTTGTGAAACAGGGTCAAAGAGCGGAAGAACCCTCTGTGGTGCCCAATTTTGGGGTGGTCTTAAGCCCAAAGTGATGAACGATAAATGGATCAGCATTCAGGTTTTTGTATTTTGACAGTCTCTATCTGGTTGGGAAGCCGTCTCTTTAAGATGAAGTATACCAAAGAATACAAAAGATGCGCGGTTCACGTATTTCACGTCCACACGCGTCATTGGCGTTTGTTGGTGCCTGGAATCGAACCCCAGGGTCGAATGGAATAAATAGCCCTCTTGTTGTCAGATTGTAAGGCGATAAACCAGAGTTACTATGCATTCCTGCCAGCCGGAAGTTGTACGCTCTCTCGTCGCTTCTTGTTTTATAAAAGCATTCAAGGTCACAGGAAGGTTTCTGTAGCCGCTGACATCCGGAGGGCAGCTACCGATGTTCCTGCTGCATCTGCGTTGTCTTGCGGTCATCTGTGATGACCAGGCGACAACTGGAAAAACAAAAGCTTGAAATACCTAGCAGTGGATAGGTCTTGAATGATTTGTGTAGTAATTCACAGGCAAGAAGAGCTCACAGAATTCATTGTTTTTGCATTTTAGGTGGGTTTTTGTATTGTTTTTGTTGGTCCTATATGTTGTTTAAAGTGGTTTCATATGGGTCCGTTAAATTTTATTGGAGCTTGTTGAAATGCTGACGTGGAAAAGTTTAGAGAACCTGGAGGAGTCACAGATTACGCGACCGCATGCGACCACCGGTTGGGTGTCGGTTTACTGGCCGACTGCTGGGCGGTTTCTCGAGAGCTGGTGAGGACCAGAAACAAAGGAAAAACATGGTGATTTTGATGAATGTTTAATGATTAATGGATTCTAATGGTATAATAATGGGATTTAATGAAATTCAACATTCAACAAAAGGGGACAATGTGCATGAATCATCAATGGATTCTAGTGGTATAAAAATGGACGAATAATGGCTGGTGATTTCATTTGGACAGTCGCCATTGACATCCATTGACCAAGCATCGAAGGGGATCATTTCACATCATCAAATCAGCCTCTTTTTTGGGGGATGGTTTATGATTGGCTTTACGACATGTTCTGGGTAGACGTCTATATCTGATTTTTCATGGTGAAGCGGCTGCTATATAAATCACCAACTATAGATGATGTTCATGAGTTTCCGTTGAACGGGGAGGGACCGGGATACCTCAATTCATGATTACCCTCTGGCTATTTAACATAGCTATGGAAGCCATGGCCCATTTACAGATGATTTTCCCAGCTAGAAACCTCCATTTATCAAGGATCTTCCATGGCGAACTGTTAAATAACCAGATGGTATTTGCAGTTGAATGGGCGAAACTATGATTAACCATGTCCAAACCTGTTTAGAAAAAGCGCAATATGTCTTGGCGAGCATTTGCAGAAACAAATTGTTCAAAGGAACAGACTGGCACATTGGGTGTGGATCTGACAGACTTAACACCTGTGGGCCCAGGTGTCCGACGGTTTTGTTTTTAATTCAAAATCTTCCAGTGTTATATAGAGATACTCAATACATAGTGTTCCAAATTAAAATCAGAAGAGTCCAATAAATGTTTCTGACGTGATGTGTGAGCGAGGAAAATGGCTTCAAGCATTCCACTCCTGGGAAGATTCATGAACAGTATGATGACACGGTGTGCCCAAAGGCATCATTTTTGGAACGTGAAACAGCCAGTAATGGAATGATGATTGAAGAAAAGACAATTCATGTTGGCTGCAAATCGCACGCGAGAAGTTTTCACTGGATCTAAGATCTCAAGAGCTACGAACGACACTTTTAGCCTAGTCCGATTTGCTGCAGTATTTACAGCTGAGGACAACATGTGTCCACCAAGTCCGAGTGACAGAGTCTGAGGACTCAGAAGTGCCAGATGCGCTGCAGATCGCACAGAGAGATAGCTGCAGACTGGCAAAAAATACACATTCTTCAGAAACCAGAAGCATCTCAATGATTCTAAATAGCTCAAAAAGCCCTGCGAACATGTGAAAAATCGACTCTTTCAAAGCGGAAACGAAGTCATGAACAAAACAAAAGGGTCTATCTTTGAGATTTGGTTCTGCAGATTCTGCAGATTCTGCAGTCGTCGCGTTTGCAGAACCTCCAACCGACGAAGCCCTGCTGAACGCTACCGCCATGTGGTGACACCGACAGCTGGGAGGCCACGGGTTGAACTCGCCAAGACCAAGCAGAGTTTGCTGTTATCATAACACATTCACCGTATTCATACATATATATATATAATATTTATATATTATCAATGTATATCATATAAATTCATATATCATCGTAATAATTCCTGATATATGATGCCTTCTGATCTCAAGACATTCCTTATATATGATTCCTGATACATGTTCAAGATATGTCTATCTGCCACGGCTAGTTCCCGTGCCTCAGAGGCGATGAGAAGCCTTCAACTGCCGCGTTGGCGAAGCGAACGAAGCGAATGCAGGTCGGGAGGATGTCGGGAGCTGAAGAGCTGGACGCTGAGCTCGGGGTGGGGCATGGGATGATAATATGGATCATATATGGATAATATATGGATAATATATATATATGATAATATATGGATAGTATATGATATATTTTAATATAGCTTATGGGAATATCATAGAACCAATTATATGGATATATATATATAGATAGTCATATGGGCTATGGACCCAATTACGTGGATAATCTATGGATGATACAAATAGTTGCTGGAACAATAAGACATATAATGGGAATACCGGATCATAGAAAATTATCAATATGTTTTGGGAAGATGAACATCCATTTATCAGTATTTTTTTAATGAACACCAGGGTACTGGATGTAGTAGGGTTTTGACCCGTAAGCACATCGGTTTGTCCAAAACTTCCATATACCCGGATACCCTAATTTTCATGGGGAATCTGACCAAGTTTTGGTTAGTATATAGTATAACTACCATATTATCACCTGTATGATCACTATATGACCACCATATAATCAATAGAGAACATTAAATAACCATTATATATGTAAGCACGGTATAACCACTAATAGACTATAGTTGCTTGAAGATCTAAACCAGAAGCTAACCCCTAATTTCACCATCCCAGGGTATCACAGGCATCCGACCATGGTGACGCTTTCTCCGTTGGCATCTTCTGAGGAACGCGTGGGCGGAGGCTACGGGGTTGAAGTGATGACCACCATCAGCCCGTTAAAATCTGATGAACAAATATATGTATGCCATTAAAAATCAAAAAAAACTGCAGATAACGGATTATAAGAGTATCGCTATAGCAATCCAACTATGGTTACTTTTTATTTATTCTAATTATTATATATATATGGATGATTTCCCAAACTATAAACCTCCATTTATCGCAATTCATAATCCAGTTTATTATTAACCATCATTAAGCATATAATAACCATTAATATTAACCATTAATCTTATTCGTTGTGGTTCACTCCCCGTGGACCGATAGGCCCAGCCCGGCAGGATCTAAGTCCCGATGCCTCGCCACGCGGCTTTCGCTGGAGCTCTCTGGCGTGGGAGGCGAGGAAACTCAGGGTACCCTCGGGTAATCAAAGATGGCAAGCTGCAAAATACCACATACCCTCTGGTAATTTGTTACATAGCTATTGAAAATGGCTATTTATAGTGGATTTTCCCATTAAAAATGGTGGATCTTTCCATAGTTATGTAAACGTTTACCAGAGGGTATATACAAAATACCATATATCTGGGTAAATTATAACGACCTCCCTGTTCTCCCTCACTGGGAATCATGGTTAGTATTGGACATCATCTCCAAATGGCCGAACTATTCAGGTTAGTGAATTATTATAATTTACCCAGATATATATATATATATATAGTATTATAGTTATATATAATAATCATAATAATGATAATGATGATGATCATAATGATGATAATAATAATAATGTATAGTATATAAATTGTTGTAAATTGCTATAAATGGAGGCATAATGGAGGTTTATAGTTTGGGAAATCATCCATAAATGGAAAGGAGTTCAGCAAGCCATATTTGATAACGGGATCTTTTTGGCGGGTGCATGGGGGGATTAACAAATCTTAATGTTACATGAATAATGTGAATAGTATAGTATATTATTATTCCATATTATTCCATATTATTCCATATAACTAACCAACAATAGGATATTTGGGTGTGTAAACATGTTGTATACCCCGAACTAGTCGTTTAAAAGTAGGAAAACAAGGATGAATCAGCAGATTTAGGGCTACACTATTTTCAGAAAGAAACCATATCCTGATTTTATCCATTTCAGTTTATAATGACTTTTAAATAGAAAGATCAGGATCAATTTGCAAATGGACCCGATACTGTGGTACAGTAGGGTATTATTAAATCAGGAGCAACTGTAGTAGTCGGGAATATAACCTATATATTTGTCATGGTCAAGAGTTAGTCAACCATAAAGGGGGATGTCATTCCCCCTGTTACACGGTTAATATGCCCATTTCCCCTGGCGATGGTTGGATGACCATGCCCCATATTACCATGTCTTGACCATGGCACGTATAAATCCTGTGGGATTTGGGGGTAGTCGAAATGATGTACCCCCAAAGAATATGGTTAGATACAAAAATTAGCAACTGGTTGGTGGTTTGGAACATTTTTTATTTTTCCATATATTGGGAATAATCATCCCAACTGACTTTCATATTCGGGGTTGAAACCACCAAACAGGCAATGTTGTGGGGCTTTGAGCCGCGATATCATCAATAAAAAACATGTTCTCCCCAACAATCAGAAACAATTGAACAGCATGTCCACATTTGGTGCACTGGGATGGCTACAACGGAACATGTTTGCTCCTTTGGGGCAGACTGTTTTCTCTAAGGGAACAGGACAGGGAATTGCAGGTTCTAGCAGTTCATACTGAA